AAAATGTAGAAACAGGCCAGGCAACACATGCCTTGAATCTCAGCACTAGGGAGGCAGAAGTAAGTAGAGCTCTGTGAGTTGGAGACCAGCCTGGTCTGCAGAGTAAGTTTTGGCAAGACAGGACTACATAGTGAGACTCCCATTTCCAAAATAATAACAATAACAATAATAACAAATGCTGGAAGAAAAGAAAGAAAATGCAGAAATACCCTAACCCAAGAATGTTTTGGCAAGAAAATATAGATACCAAAACAAAGAAAAAGACATGGAAGCAGAAGGGATTATTGCCTGGGGAAAGAAAGGCAGGACCCACAGTGCTAGAGGGCTGGGTCATCACAGGGTTCCCATCATCATCCAGCTGGGCCCAGGGGAGGGACTCATGGTGGACATGAAGTGTGGACCACAAAGGCACTCCCCAGAATACAAGCTCAAAGGGACCAGAGGGGTGGATTGGAGGTTGAGGGGGGGCCTGGGTCCCCTTGTCCTTCCTCTAACCTTGGTAGATGTCCTGGAGAGAACCAGCCCCACAGAATTCCATGCAGATCCAGAGCTTCTGCAGCCTACAGGGGGTCAAGAGAGCAGGGATAACAATGATGGTGACCTCTAGAAGAGGCTGGGGGAGGAGCTTGAGGCTATCTTACTTCCCCTGCCCACCAGAGTGTCCCGTTCGTTCCTTCCCACGAGAGAGGAGGTTGAGGATGGGCCAGGAAATGCACACGCTGGAGCAATGTGACTAGAACTTAGGTCTTTGGGTTCCAATCCTAGGACACCCCTGTGCCATCCCAGGCTGACTTAGGGGACAGGGCAGAGAGCTCACGGAGAGGTAGACAGGATAAAGAGGCCCAGAGCGCAAGGTCTGAGGAATTGATGTCATCAGCAGGGCAACTGAGACATGATCTTAGGGGCCAAAGACTTTGGGGTTCGTGTTAAGGAAGCAGGGCAAAACGGGCGATGCAGGGAGCAGACTGATATTTGATTAGTCCCTAGATTAAGGAGTACTCAGTAAGAAACGGTGGAATTTCAGACTGGGAATCAGGCTGGGATGCCCCAGTTAAAAGTGGGGATCCTCAGGTCGGAGGTCAAGTTAGGTTATCTGGGTCACAAATGGTAGGTTTGGACTGAGGACCTGGTTAAGGATGCTTGATCAGAAATGAGAGGCTGGGGCTGGGGGATGGGCTAAGACATCACCAGAGGTAACTGCCGTGGTAAGCCACGATGTTGGCATGGCGGCAAGTTTTCAACATGAGAATCTCCTTCTGAAGGGTGGACACATCGTCATCTGCGAGGAGAGCAGGAGAGAAGAGTGGCTATGAACAGTGCCTTATGGACATGATCCCTGTCCTAAGAGGTAAGGGGAGGTAGGGGTGGGGAAGGAGTTTCTGGGGACTCTCTCACCAGGCTCCATCTTCACCATCTTCAAAGCCACCAGGTCCTTAGACACCTTGTCACGAGCCTTGTAAAGGGGAAGTTGGCCATCAGGCAGGCTCCATAGCTGGCCACCCTCAGCATCTCTGAGCCAAACCCAAGGCCTGGCTTCCTCTTGTCCTGCCTTGTTTGTCGGCCTCACCCCAACTATCCTAGGTTTGCCGATGAAGGAGGCAGAAGGGCTTTCTCACCTTGAAGACTTCTCCATAGGTTCCACCACCCAGTCGCTGCAATAGATCATAGTGTTCCCGGGGGTCCTTAGTAAAGATGTCGGCATCTACAAGGGCCATCCCTGGAGGCCGCGGCTGGGCCGGTGCCCAGGGGCCAGCAGGGCCTCAGGGCTCGAGCTTTAGTATTACCCTCTGTCTCCACAAGTCCTGGGCCCGCCTTGACTCTGCGGGCTGTGGCCTTCCCCCTCCCCACTCTCGCTTCCTGCCCCAGCTGCAAGGCTGTGCAGAGGGCTCCACCCCTGTCCCCAGGGTTCTAAGAGCCTGATTGCCCAGGGACTCGTGGGACTCCCCTTTACTCCCAGAAGGTTACTATGTAAATAAAATGCAAAAGATCTTAATTGCAACCTGAGGCTGACCCAGCATCCTTTCCCCAACTCTCTCCCATTCTGGGAGGAGTCACAAGTTACAGTAGAACCTCAGACTTGGAGTCAAGAGGTTGCAAGTCTGCACAAGCTGGCTCTAAGTAGCGTGTAGGCCTGTCTACTCGCGGCACATACACGTCACTTAAGTGACAACTCCAGCAAGCCTGTGAAGGTGTCCGCGAGGTGCACATGTCTGGGTTCCCGGGTGTACCAATGTGAATGCACTCAGGGCTCCTGCCCACATGGGACATGCCTGCGCACCGCGCCTAAAGTGTAAGGAATCTATGTTAAACACGGGGCGCTTGTTGAATAGCCACTATCCGGGGCCCGGAGACTCCAGAGTGCCACGCCAGGTGCATGAGCCATTCGCCTCCCCAGCGAACAGGGTGACATCACAGACCAAGGACTTAATAGTGAGGAAGTGAGCGTACTGGATACTGTTTCAGGGGCAAGAAGGGCTTCAGAGAGCACTTCGCACCGGAATGAACGCAAAGAGAAAACCGCTGCAGCCTTCGCGCGGTTAGACGCGTTTATGGCTACGCATGCGTCCAGAGAACTCCGGCGTCTTTCGTGTCTACCTCCGGCGCATGCGCGTCCGGAGCTTCTGCACAAGGTTTGCAGCGGCCCGGGAAAAGCTTAGCTCCGCCTCCCGGCGCCTGCGTAATAAGGCAGACTAAACCTTTTCTCACGCTGTTGGTCCCATTCAAGTGAGACCAATGCACACGCAAAAAAATGACGACTGCTGGGAAGAAGTCACGTGGTAGCCGGAAAGCTGGGGCGGCTGCCGGAAGTTCCTTTCCCTTCGCCTTTCCTGTAGGAGCTCGAGCGTGGGGATGACGTAGTTTCCTCTTCCTGCACGTTTTTTCTTCCGGCCCTCGAGTACCGTGCACTGGGCCTGGTGTTCGACTCCGGCTGGGGCTGCGGAAGGCGACAGTGATCATGGCGATGTTTGAGCAGATGAGAGCGAACGTGGGCAAGTTGCTCAAGGGTATCGACAGGTCTGAGCTCGGCTGGAGGGCGCTCTCTGGCCAAGCGGGGTGGAGAAGATGGGGAGCCAGCCAGGGGTGGCCAGGGCTCTATGCTCATCCAGAGTGGTGTTTCTCCAGGTTTCCCTCCGTCCCTTGGCTTTCCTTTTTACCGCCGCCCAAGACTCTCAGCGTCATTTAGTCTCTTAGTCTCTCACTTCTTCGCTCTTGTCAACCATCAAACATAAGGTTCACTGCTATCTACTCGGCCAGTGGGAACCGGAGGTGATGGAGACACCCACGGGTCCTGCTTTCCTGGACTTAGGTTCTCGTTCCAGCCGGGCTACAACACCTTTCAATAGTGACAACAAGGACAGATCAGGGCCAGGCCAGGGCAAGTCACGTGTAGTCCTAGGCAGGAGAGAATAGAACTGGGTCGGAAGGGGATCCAAGAGGATGCCAGTAGATGCTCAGGAAGGCACATATACAGGCTGCGGAGACTAGCTGAGGTTGGAGGTATCCTGCCTGGCTCCAGTAGGGCTACTGGAAAATGCACAGTTGGTCAGCTCTCTGGGTAGATCTAATGGATGGTACTAACTTTATTATTTATTGTAAAATCGAACGAATGTAGGTTTATTAAAAGGCTAATAAAGGGAGGAATACCCCAGGGCCACATTTAAAGCTGTAGAATGGGAGAGTGACCTTCACGTTAACGAATTACAGTGGCAGCCCCTTAGCCCTCTGTTTACCCATCGCTGTCTGTCTGTTTGGTTGTCTCCCGCTTCCTTTTGAGACAGGTTCTCACCATACATCTCAGACTAACTCAGGCTTGCAGTCCTGCCCGTCCTATCTGTGTGTCTCCCCCCCCCCCCATGAAAGGCATGCGGTGCCATGCCAGGCCACTCACCCATCATGATTCCCTTCCAGGTACAATCCTGAGAACTTGGCGACCCTGGAACGGTATGTGGAGACACAGGCCAAGGAGAATGCCTATGATCTGGAGGCCAACCTGGCTGTCCTGAAATTGTGAGTGTCTGTCCTCTCCCACCCTCATGCCAGCAGCAGGATGCCACTCTGGGTAGGGAACTGGGTGCCTACGTGCCCGGGGCAAGCTGCAGGATGTGGCTGCTCTTTTGGTGTGTAAGCTAGGAAGCTAAGCAAGTCAGGGCAGGGTTTTTTTTTTTTGTTGTTGTTGTTGTTCCTTTTGTTTTTAATTAACTACAAAATATACAAGCTCATCTTTTAAAACAGTTCTATTGCTTGACAAAATACTGTAAACGAACAACCATGTTGCTGGTGCCGCTGGCCCTCTGCCGCATGCTCTGCCCTATCAGACCCCCACCTTAGGTTACCACTGTCGAGCTCTAAGGCCTGGCTTCAGGTATTTGCATCAAAATCAGCTTAGCTCGGGCTCTTTGCTATGAGCTCGGCTGTAATCACGTAACTCAAGCTCTGTTCTAGCATCTTCCTGTCAGCACTGGGTTAGAGCCCTTTGTCTTCTCCCATTTTTATGTGTGTGTGCGCGCGCATGTGCATGTCTGTGGGAAGAATGTGCGTGTGCACATGCATGTGATACCCCGAAGTTGATGTCAGGAGTCATCTTCAGTCGCTCTTTTGCCTTACTTCTTGAGTCAGTGTCCTAGTGAACCCCGCATCACTGAACCAGTTCCTCTTCGCTAACCAGCTTGCTCCTGGAATCTGCTGTTTTCACCTTCAGAGGCTGGAATTGCAGACAAGTTTCTATGCCTCCCTGGCTTAAGTGTTTTTTTCATTCCTTTTTCTTACGAGTGTGAGTGCAGCAAGTGTGGAGGTCTGAGGACAACTTGGAGCAGTCAGTTCTTGCTTTACATCTTTTTTGTGTGTTTGGTTTTGGGGACAGGGTCTCTACATATCCCTGGCTGTCCTGGAACTCCCTCTGTAGAGCAGGCTGACCTCAAACTCACAGAGGTCCACCTGCCTCTACCTCCTGAGTGCTGGGATTAAAGACGTGTGCTACCTTGCCTGTCACTTTCCACCTTCTGGAGTTTCTGCCTTTGAAGGCTACCTGGCCTCTGGCCTCCATACTTCTAGAAGACTGTTCTTACCTGACTACAGGAGTTCTGGGATTACGAATATACCCACTACAGCCCATCTTTATGGGTTCAGGAGTTTGAACTTGGGTCATCGAGGAGTTTACACAATAAGTGTTTTTACTGACTAAGCCATCTCTCTGCCCCCTTTTCTAGTTTGGTTTTTATATTTTTAGGCAGGGTCCTATAGCTCCCACTGGCCTTAAACTTGCTATCAAGATGACCTTGAACTCATTCTCCCAAGTGCAGGGATTAAGAACTTGTCTGGCACAGCTTCCCCCTAGACCCACCCAGCGTTTTACCATATAGCTCAGGTTGGCCTTAAACTCCTGGGGTCTCCCCTCAGGCTAACAAGTACAGTGGATACTTTCCTGGTACACTACCCCCTGTATGACTTAGTTTATTTTGGTATCTTGGTTTTTGGGTCAAGGTCTCTTGGCTCTGGACTTGCTGTGTAGACCAGGCTGGCCTTGAACTCAGAGGTCCCCCTACCTCTGCTGATGGTGTGCCCTGGTTGATGTGCTTTAGCTTTTGCAGCTGTGCAGTGGAGATGTTTGCTGGCGGTGCTGGCTGCTCCTTGAGTGCTCACTGTGCTAGCCTGTATTACAGGCTGTGTGTCTTGTGGGAAAGTCTGAATGTAGGTGGCCTGGTCTAACCTTATTCCTTTGTGAGTTTGTGACAGTGTCTACCCTTTTTGGTGGCTGTGAAGATTAACTGTTTTCCTGTCCAGAGCAGGGCAATTAAGTTTACATAGAAGATACAGTTGGTGTTGGAGCCCACACAATTCCTAGCTTCCAAACTCCAGACTAGAACAGCAGCTCCCTGGCGATTTCTCAGAACATTAGGAAAGAACCTTTCCTCAAGACCCATTAATACCTCTTTTGGGTATATATCCAAAGGATGCTCAATCATGCCACGAGGACATGTTCTCAACTATGTTCATAGCAGCTTTGTTTGTCATAGCCAAAACCTGGAAACAACCTAAATGCCCCTTGATCGAAGAATGGATAAGAAAAATGTGGTACATTTACACAGTGGAGTACTACAAAGCAGGAAAAAAAATGACAGCTTGAAATTTTGCAGGAAAATGGATGGAGCTAGAAAACATTATTTTGAGTGAGGTAACACAGAAAGATAATTATCACATATACTCACTCATAGGTGGTTTTTAAACATAAAGCAAAGAAAGCAAGCTTACAAACCACAGTCCCAGAGAACTTAGAGAACAATGCGGACACTAAGAAAGACTTACATAGATCTAATCTACATGGGAAGTAGAAAGTAGAAAAAGACAAAATCTCCTGATTTTGGGAGCATGGGGACCTTGGGGGAGGATTGAAGTGGGGAGGGGAGCAGAGAAAAATGTACAGCTCAATAAATATCAATTTAAAAAGAACAGCAGCTCCCTGCCTGTCTGTCATGGCATTCAAGGACTATCATTTTATCCATTTGTATAAATAAGCCCAGATTGGCTTCAAAGTTGTGATCTGCCTGGGTGCTGGGATTGCAGGCACATGCCACTATGGCTGGCTTTGCGAGGTGCCACCATTGTTATGTCTCTTGTTCTTCTCAGGTACCAGTTCAACCCGGCCTTCTTTCAGACCACGGTCACTGCCCAGATTCTGCTGAAAGCCCTCACCAACCTGCCCCACACCGACTTCACCTTGTGTAAATGTATGATCGACCAGGCACATGTATCCTTCCTTCCAGCGGCTGGGAAGCGGGGTAGGTGGAGGGATCTGGGCATACCTCCAAACAACCAGTGCCCGCTCTGGACTCGGCTTGACGCTGGGTCAGCCTCAGGTGCTGGTGGTACTCGTGTGTCTC